AAATTATGAGTTCAATAACTATATATAGTACAAAAATAATATTTGTTAAAATGATTTATAATTTCAAATGGTGGACGAGAGAACATAGGTAATGTAGTAAACAAGATTCGTGAGAGAGTAAGAGAGAAGCTAGATGTAAAACTTCACAGGAAGAGAGCAAGAGGAGTTGACAGTGATTGGCTGTTGGTTGCAGAAAAGTTGGAAAGACAATCCAGGAAAATAGACAAGAGGAAGAATATGAACAAAGAGAAAAAATTAAAGGCATAAGAATACAACAAAAATGCAAAACACCATTCCTATATCATTGTCCTCCACACACTGATACATAAAAATCATCCTGTTCCAAATATGATAAAGAGATTAGTGAATCAAAAAATGAAATAAAATAAAATAAATCTTTCTGGAAAATTGAACTATCTCTCTCTGTCAGTGTTCAACAGTTTCTCAGCCCTGTCTCTGATGTCCCTCTGGATCACCAAACCCAGATCAGCCCTCACAAACCCAGTCTCCATCCCACCGATCTGGGCTTCAGATACCTCAGGATCAGCCATGCTATAGTCCCAAGATCTCAGTGCTACTCCTACTTGCAGAGAGACCACCAGGGACACACTCATGCAAAGGAGCAACCCCAAGATGCAACAGCAAGACAAGGGCCACCAGCACTCTCAGCAGGAAGACCCCAGGCTCCTCCAAATCCACAGGTACCCCCACACTAGACCTGCAGGCTCCAGCTGTGTCACTAAACAGAGGCTCTCATGGTGGTAAACCCACTGGCACCTGGGCCCCAGGCCCTGGTTAGTGTTCCAAAATGGGTGCAGCCATGTGCAACCAAACCTGGAGTCTCCCCTGAAGCAGTCCTGTAAGCTGTGGTTGTACCTGTATTGGCAGTGATTGTTGCAGCAGGCAGTGGGTCAGCAGTAACAGTGGCTGCAGTGGCAGCTGCAGCTGCAACTGTGGGGGTAGCATCACCAGTTGATCTCCAGGGTTCAGCAGCAGTGTCTGTTTCAGTTGTATCTGGGGCAGTGGTTTTTTTCTATGGCAGCAGCACCCAGAAAGAAGACCTCCAGGCAATCTCAGGATGGCAGCAGTGGATTCAGAAGCAGCAGCAATGGTGGTAGTGGTGCAGGCCCCCACACTTGTCATTGCTTGTCATTTTTATAGTAGTTATCTTAACAGCTATGAGGTGATATCTCATTGTGGTTTTAATTGGATTTCCATGATGACTAGAGCTGTTGAGAATTTCTTCTTTTATCTGTTGGCCATTCATATGTCTTTTGTTTGAGAAATGTCTTTTGTTCATTTTTTAAAATGGATTATTTGTTTTTCTTGATATTGAATTGAGTTTCTTCCTTACATATTTTATATAGTAACCAATTTCAGATGTTCGGTTTGCAAATATTTTTTTCTTATTCCATATTTTGCCTCTTCACTTTGTTGATTATCAGCTTGATATAGTCTTGTTTGTCTATTATTTTTGCTTTTGGTGCCTTGCTTTTGGGTTCATATCCCAAAATCTTTTGCTAAAATCAAAGTCATGATATTTTCCCCAGTTTTCTTCAGTAGTTTTGTATTTTTAGGGCTTATGTTTCAGTCTTTAATTAATTTTGAGTTGATTTTTGCATATGGGGTAAGATAATGGTCCAATTTCAATCTTCTACATGTGGATATCTAATTTTCAGAACACCATTTGTTGAAGAGAATCCTTTCTCCACTGTGTTATTGGCACATTTGTTTTGAAATTAGTTGACTGTGTGTTGATTTATTTCTGGGCTTTTTATTCTTTTCCACTTACTGCTTTGTGAGTCTACCTTTCTGCCAGTTCTATGCTGTTTTTATTATTAGAGCCATGTAGTACATTTTGACACCAGACAATGTGATTTCCTCCAATTTTGTTGTTATGCTCAAGATTGCTTTGACTCTTCAAAATCTTTTGTGGTTTCATATGAATTTTAAGATTTTTTTTCTATTTATGTGAAAAAATGTCATTGGACTTTTCATGGCAATTGCATTGAACCTGTAGATTGCTTTGGGTAATGCTATGGTTAATTATGGTTTGTCCCATTCAAAACTGATATTGAGGTTTGACTGTCATTATTGGCTGTGAGGGGAGGTGAGGCCTTTAAGAGGTGATTAGGTCATTAAGAAGGATTAATGTCTTTTTTTTCAAGAGTGGTTTGTTACACAGCAAGGCCATCCCTCATGTTTTATCACTTCTGCACATGCCTACTTTCTCTTCTATTTTTTTTTCTCTTACCAGAAGATGAGCAGAGTCTAGAACCATGTTCTTGAATTTCCTAGTCTCTAGGACCATCAGCCCAAATGAATCTTCTTCTTTATAAATCACCCAGTTTCAAGAGTTCTGTTATATCAATAGAAAACAGACTAAGACAGGTGGTATGGACATGTTAAAATATTATATGTTCTAATACATGAAGATGGAGCATTTTTCCATATATTTGTGTCTGATTCTTTTTTCTCATTGATATTTTATAGTTCTCAGTCATTCTCCTCTTTGGTTCAATTTATTTCTAAATGTTTTAGTGGTTTTGTAAATATGATCTTTTTTAAAATTTTTTTCCAGATACCATGATTTTCATTAGCATTTTCTGTGCCTCAGTTTCATCCTGTCAAATGATGGATGGGGCGAGTGAAGGGATCCTCAAAGCTCTTGCTAAAATTATTTGTACTTAGATGCAAGGCTGAATTTTTTCATGGTATATTCTTTTTTGTTGTTGTTGTTGTTTTGCTTTGGAATGCACTTGGAGTAAATTCCAAAGGAAAGGGCTATGGCTGGGTGGACAACTGGGGAAAATAAAATCCTGATTTAACTTGCCTAACTTGGGAAGGCTTTTTATAGGAAGATTATCAGGTATGGTGATCATCTCCCACCAACCCATTCTTTCACTATGCCCTACTATAGGCCCTGATACTGATATTTTGTGTCCAGATGCATTTTAGGAAACACATCCTGATCTTATTACCAAAAGAATTCATGAGGCAGGCAGGCAGACTTATATATGGACCAGCTTCTGTATAAACCCATGTTCTAAAAAAGGAGTATAGTATATTTAAGAGCATGGCCTCTAAATCCACACTTCTGCATTCAAATCTCAACACCATTACTTAGCAGCTATGGAAAATGTAGACTAAATCAATTGAGCTTTCTAGTGTCTCAGTTGGAGTATCTTTAAAATGGAAGTAGTAGTATCTACCTCATAGAGCTGATATGAGAACTAAAAATATAAAGAACTTACTGCACTGTCTGGCACTTATGAATATTAAAATCTTATTATCCTGAGCCTACTTGGAGGAAACAGAACTCATGGATAAGGATGCCAGTGTAGTACAGAGATAAAGACTCTGCCTGTCCTAGGAGGCAGTGGGACTAAGGCTTCTCTTCTTGGCCTGCCACTGACTTGCTGTATGATCATGATCAAGTCTGTGCCTACTTTTGGTCCCATTTTCCCAAACTAGCTCATCTTTCAGGTCTCTTCCAACTTGAACATTTTCTGAATCATTCTCTGTAGGCTATTCACATACATATGGGAAGGACACAAGGGAAAATGCATCATCCTACTGCTCCCTTGGCTCTGTGACTTAGGCAAGTAATATGTCTTCTCTGGATTCCCAGTGCCTTTCTGCAAAATGACAGAATGGATTTCTGAGGTACGTTTCAGTCTTTTCCTTTTTGGCTTAAAAAATATCAAGTGAAAGTTAACTATGAAGAACAGAGGAGGAACAGACACCTCTGAGCCTGGTGAGCTGGTTCCTAAGAAAAACCACCAAGAAAGCAGAAGCAGTCAAGGCATCTGTCAGCTTGATGGTTTGATGTGTCTGCCCTCTCCTCTTGGTCTCCTTCTTAGCAAATTTGTTTTCAGACTGTGCAGGGCAGAAGGGCAAAGGGCACTGACTATATGGAGAGAGAGAATCCATCATAAGAGAGCTCTCATTTCTGGTCCCAGCTATTCTGGGAGGTATTCTTAGGGGCCATAATCACCTCTTTGGTCTTCTGCCCAACCTCCATTACCTCCCAGTCCACTATCTTCTCCTTTATTCCCTCCAAGCTTTTGCTGCTGCTGTGCATACACCTTTTAGGGCATGTATAGTACTGGCTCAATTGTAATAGTTTGTTTACATCTACAGGTCTCTCCCAGTAGCCTGTGAACCTGGATGACTAACTGTGTATGTCTGACTCATTTTGGGATCCAGCATTTAGCTGGAGGATGTTTGCTTGAGCAGGTAATCTGATAGGTGAGTTCTCTCAGGCTGGATTCCTGAGTGAATGGAGGAGTAAACGCTAGAGGGAAGCAAGGACTGGATCCCTACCTGCTGCTCCCTTGGTTTTGTGGCTTGGGCAAGACATATGTCTTCTGAATCTCAAGTGCTTCCCTGTAAATTGAGAGAATCAACACACATATTTCTGAGGTACCTTTTAGCCTTCTCTCTTTTAGTTTTCTTTTTAATGCATTTTCCTCAGTTGTCATAGTCTGATAATAATAGCTTTAAGTTATGCCCTTCTCAATTTTTTTTTGTATTTAAATGGCAATCAAAGCTTTCCTTGACACACAAACTGTAATCTTGGATCCAGATCTTAAACTAGTGGGTCCAAAATAATGAGTTCTTGCTTTGTAAAGGTCTTCAAGATTTGGCATTCCAGTTGTGATAAAGTGTGTTCTATGTATTTGATCATTACAAATCTATAAAGTACCCTGTTTTTAGCCTTGCCTAACCTAGCACTTCTCTCTCTCTCTCACTCTCTCTCTCTTTCTTCATTAATATTCTTTCTCCTTCCCTCACACTCCCTCTTTCTTTTCCCTCTTCCTTCCCCTCCCTCCCCCTCCCTCTCCCCCCCTCCCTCTCCTTCTCCCTCTCCCTCTCTCTCCTTCAGCTGGAAATAACTGGCCATCCCTCCCCCTGTGCCTTGGTGGCCCATTCCTGCTGTGACCATGGAGACTCTCAGCATCTGCCGGACTGCTTCCTTCTCAGAGCTGGTGCCCAATGGCTGCCAGGTTCAGGTCTTCCCAGACCCCCCTGAGGTAGAAGGCTTGACTAAGGAGGTGAAGCTGGAGGAGCTAGAGGGATCTGAGCAGTGTATCCAGAGAGACATGAGTCCCAAGGAAGAGAGTGGTTGGAACAAGAAGAAAACAAAAGTCAATAAGATCTGGAATTTTGTGAGTCGCAGAAAAGGAGCTTCCAGCCAGAGAAAGCGACCTCAGTCCATGATTTTGCTGGAAGACATCTCCAGACCATCAGAGGTAAAATCCAAAGTCACCTTCATGGATCGAATGAAGTCATTCAGGAGGTCAAAGACTTCTACTGGGGCCTCTAAGAATACTCCCCTTAGGAGTAGCAAGGTCCAGGAGCCACAGGAAGCCACAGGTGTCTACAGGATACGGAATATTGAGGATGCTCTAAAACCCTTCCGCCATTCCTATGCAGGCCACATTGAGGGGTTGGAGCCTTTCCTTGAAGATGTGCAGGGGCTTGTGCAAGCACCCAAGAGGGAAAACCAGAAGGTGCTAGCCTCTGAGGATTTTGGCATCCAAGTGGAGGAAGATTTCTGGGAGGAGGAAGAGGTTCCTGGGCACTTCAGTAGTGACAGACAATGCAGAAGCTACCTGAAAAACATGTCTCCCAGGAGTCATGAGGCCCCTTCTGCCTGGGTAGAAGACACCAGAATCCAGGGGCTTGAGACCACCATTGAGGGCTCCACCTTGGAAGGAGACACAGAAGGCATCTATGAGGAGAGCCCTGGACACCAGCACAGAGATAAGATGGCTCCATTCAGTGTCGTTGTCAAATTCTTCAACAATATGGCTGAAGCAGCCCGCAAGTGGCGGTCATTCTCCCGTGAAGAGCCACAGTTGGGCCGCCGCCACCGTGAACCCTACTGCAGCGATGGCTTCGTCCTGGAAGGCACTACCTCCCAAGTCTCCTTCCCACTTGATCTGCCCTGCCAAACCACTGAATCCAACCTGTGGGGCAATGCTATGGGAAGGTGCCGACACCATCACCGGAAGGCCCCACACACTTCATGCACTTTTGAGATGAGCATTGAAGGTGAGGAGATTCCTGGTCAGGCTCTATCAGGTCCCTGTGATGCTGCCATCTCTTCTATGACCTCAGCTGTCTTCAAGTTCCAGGATGACCCAGTGAAGCAGAAAGGCCACTGCCACAGCAACTGCCATACCTCCACCAGGGAGCATTCCTCCTCTGAGGAGCTTGATGAAGACACAGAGACGGTGGTCAGCTTCCTCAAGGAAGAGGACAGTTCCAGAGAGCCCCCTGAATTTGGTGCCTATGCCAAGAGGTTCACCACTGAGGCTGTCATGGAGAAGTTGGAGGAGAAGCCCAGTGAAATGAAAGAGCAGGAGGAAAATTTGGAACCAGAGGAGTCCAGCCAGGCCAGGAAGCCCCAGAAGCTTGAGATGGAAATGGGTGCAGGGGATGCAGAAGGCAAAGCCACCAAGGCCTGCTCTGGAGTTTGTCATTCTCAGGTAAGGCTGGCTTTTCCAAATAACTATTTGAAATATTTGGGACCCCAGAAGCCAGCTAAACTCATACCTCATACCCCATATCCCACCATCAGCCAGAGATGTCCTGAAAGGAATGCTCCTAGCAGTCAGGTGCAGGGAACTTGACTGATCCTGAAGCCCTGAGAATAGTAGGAAAGTGGCCATGGTCATTTAATTATGTCTAAGGGAGTCATGCTCTCCCATTTTTCTTAGGTTGTGAGACATTTCCCTGGCTTTGTCCACCTTCTTCCTTCCCTTCCCCTCCTGCAGGAAGTAGATCTAGAGACTGGGCTCCAGGGGAGCCTCTGAGCTGTGACAGAAGATCTGCATTTGTGTCCTAGCTCTGTGCTCTGTTGTCTATATTATATTGAGATAAATCCTTTCATCTTGCTGGATCTCAGTTTCCTTATTAGTGCAGTAGGCTGCTCTTGGTGTCTTTAGGTACTTTTCTAGTAACAACACCCTACATTATTTGACCTGAAGAATATAAACTAAGGACAGTTCATTTATATTCTTCTCCCATAATTCATTGAGAAGAACTTCATATCCAGTATCTGGCAGGATACTGTCATGTATTGTTTCCATTTAATTCTTACACTAACCTTGTGAAATAGGTGTGACTATCCTCATTTTACCAGTGAGGAAACTGGAGCTCAATGTGACTTATCCACAGTCATGCAGATTGTGATAGAATTTGAGTTTAAATTTGAGTTCTTAATTTTTTTGTGTGTGTGTATGTGCTGGTGATAAAACTCAGAGCCTCCTGCATGCTAAGTCATGCACTCTACCACTGAGCTACATCTCCAGCCCCAGGTTCTTATTTTTGACTTTAAATCAAGTATTTTATCTGTTGTTTCCAGGGGACTTAATTTGAGTAGTAAGAGGCAGCTCTTCAGCATACCCCTACTCAAGGACGAAAAAATAAATATGCTAGAATTATTGTGGAAGGAATGTTGAATAAACACTAGAGGGAAATCTGACTTTGAGCCTTAAGAATGTTTTTATAAGGAGACATGATATCCTTTCTCCAGATTATTTTAGGGCAAAACTATTTTTTAAAGAATAGTTAATTAGAATTCTTCATTATGGTAGGGTGAAATGGATTACCTTTGTAGAGCTGTTTCTATCATCTCTCCCATCCCACTTTTAGAGCATTTGGACCCCATCAGGACAGAAGCAATAGTCCTGTTTTTTTGGAGAAAGGCATTAATATGCTTACAAGCATTCTCTTTCTATATTTTTCAGTTATGGTAAGCTATAAAACATAAATATTGGAGTTATACTGTGGAAGTAATTTTTATTGCAGTGGTTTTAAGACCAACAATCAAACAAGCAAGCAAATAAATATACCCGGTTACTCCATTAGCTGACAATTGCAGTTGGGCACTGCATGTCCAGGGTCACCTATAACCTAGAAGAGGGTCACAGATGGACTAATCACATTCCTAGTGGGCCATATATGCTAGATGCAGACGCCTTGTGGGATCTTTAAAAGTACAGGCTTTAAAATTACTAAGGATTGGATGTGAGTTGCCCTCTCATTTGTGAAATAGGTTTAAATACTGCCTACCTAAAGGGCTGTTGTGAAAAAAAAAAAAACAGTGTATGTAAAGTATGCAGCCTAGTACTATGTACAATGCCCTTTGTGGATATTTACAAAGTGGTAGCAATCACTACTACTACTACTACTACTACTACTGAAATTTGGTAAATTATAAATAATTGTAAAAGAATTCAAGACAGTAGCATATAGCAGTAAGCTGATTGGTACTGTTGAAATAATAGTGTCTGAAAATCAGGTAACACTGGGTTCTAATTTCATTTCTACTCATGATCAGCTTTGTGACCTTAGTCCAGTTTCTTCCTCTCACTGGAGCTCAGTTTCCCCATCAGAACAATGTGAATTTGAATCAGACAGTTCCTGGCGATCTTTTCACTGATTCTTGCCTGCAATCTAAACTTGTAATTAACTCTTTAAGTTCAGTGAGAGACTGGTCACCTCCTTTTTGCCTAGTGGTTTCCTAGTGGCTCTTCTCTGCAGGCATCCTATGCCCTCTGCTGGTTTCACAGAGATACTGTCTAACTTTCCTTGGTGTTTAAAACACCAGCCTACCCAGGCCAGTAGTGCATGCCTATAATCCTAGCAGTTTAGGAGGCTGAGGCAGGAGGATTGCAAGTTCAAAGCCAGGCTCAGCAAAAGTGAGGCACATTAAGCAACTCAGTGAGACCCTGTCTCTAAATAAAATACAGAAAAGGGCTAAGGATGTTGCTGAGTGGTTAAGCACCCCTGGATTCAGTTCCCAGTACAAAGAAAAAACAAAACCAACAACAACAACAACAACAACCAGCCCAGTGAAACTGCAAAAGTGGAGCAAAACAGCTGTGAATGTGAGGGACATCGGTGTAGGTCAGGGGTCCTGTTGACCATCTGGTTCATTCAGTTCATTTTACGGATGATATACATTTTACAGACGATTTACACTGAGTCTGAGGGAAGGGAAAGGATTTCCTCTGACACACAGAAACTGGGAGCCAAATAGGATATGAAAATTGTAGTCTCATCTCTGCCACAAATCTTACCTTCCCTCTGGGTTTTAGCAGCTTTCTCTGCCAGTTGAAAATTCTCATCCTCACCTCAGGCATCTCTCAGGTCTCTAGTGAGGCTAAATTGGGATATTGGATATGAAAACAATACATTGTAAAGTAGCAATGCCCACACATTGCATTCCATTATTATATGAAAATGTAACTATAAAAAAAAAACCTGATAAAGGCCCAGGCTCTTCTGCATTACTCAGAGCAACAGTGAGTGGGCTTTGGCTAGCTTCTTTTGGAGTGTTTTTATTTTTGTGGTGTACTCATCCAATCTTTCAGAGCTAGAAGTTCCTGAAACTGACTGTTTTGGCCCAGATTTGGCTGTGGTAAGCTCTATCACTGCAGCTTTAAGGTGAATGATGTTAGAGGAGGTGGGACACATTTCCAGTTCTAATGGGTTATGTGTCTATAAGTTGCAATTTGCATCACCTCCTCTAATATCATCCACTTTAAAGATATCAGAGATTGTGAATGGGTCTCATTAAGGGTCTCCAAGCCTCACTCTATGTACGTAGAAAATGGGGAGAGTAATACCACTAATTATAGCTAGAATTTACACAGTGTTTGTTTTGTGCCCAGACACTGTTCTCAGCATTTTACATATACGAACTCAATTTTATCAAAACAACTACCTTATGAGTCAGGGACTAGTTTTGAAATGGGATGATAATAATATCTACCCTATAGGCTTGTTTTAAGGATGAAATGAGTAAATACACAGGAGTACTTATAACAGTGTGTGGTCAAGAGACATTGTACAATAAATGTTAGCTATTGTGTTCACTATTAAAAGCACATATCACAGGAAAGGACTATAACTTAAGCCTATCATTAGCTAACACCTTAGTGGGAATTAGTAGAATACAAATTATATGAGGAAGAGGAAGAATGATAAGACATGACTTTATACTTTGCATAATTCTTTCCAGTGCATAAAGTGATTTGTAAAACTTATATAATTATAAATATTATTATCATTATTCTCATATTACAGATGATAGGGCATGACATACAAAGAAAGAAAACATTGGACTTGGAGTCAAAAAGCCTAGTTGTAAGTCCTGGATCTTGTACTTTACCAGACATGTGACTTTTGATAAATCATTTAACCACTTTGATTTTTTTAAATTTATTTATTTATTTTAATTAGGTATGTGACAGCAGAATGCATTTTGATTCATTATACAGAATTGCAGCACAACTTTTCATTTCTCTGGTTGTACATGATGTAGTGCTGCACCATAGGTGTAGTCATATATATACCTATGGTAATTTTGTTTCCTTTATTTTTCTACTGGAGATAAGAAGTCCCTTCTGCTTCCTTTCTAGGTAATAAAGAATATTATACTTAGTATATCAAATACTATTTATAACATGAATATTATATCAAACACTATATGCCTTTAATTCTATTATTTCATTTGAAGCCCCAGTGTTCCTCTCCCTTTCAGTGTTGTTTTGGTCTTATCACCATTATCTCATTTTATTAAGCTTATGCCTACAAATAATACTCATATCCATGCTCAGAAGTAGTTAAGGCAGTGGCTACTGTCTCCGTTGTACAGATGAAAAGACTGAGCCTGTCTAAGGATATACAGAATGAATTGGTGGTAGATGCAGAATACAAGGAGTTAGACTTTTGGCCAGTGCTGGTTCTATATAGCCTCTTACTTCATACTGGAATTTTGTGAGAATTATCAAGTTCACTTTCTTCAGTCTCTTACCTGCTGCCTATTTTTAAGCTGGTAGCACAATATGTGCTCTGTAAAAGAAACAATAGTTAGGTTTGCCAACCAAATTGCCAGCCACTCTTGCCTTTTTCCTCTGTCCTCCCTTCCTTCAACTCCTATATATTCTGGATGGGTCCAACTTTTCCTTAATTTAGTATGGGCCTCAGTAAAAGTACATAGTTTGACAATCTACTGTATAGTTAGCCTCTTACTTCTACCTATAATAAAAATAATTCAAGGGCCCAGTCCCTTTCATTGCTGAGCTTCAGTTTTTTTTCTCCCATCTGTTTCATTGTGGGGAGATTAGATTTTTTGATTTGTAAACTTTCTAATGGTTTATGGGTCTGGAAGGCAAAGTAAATAAGTTAGGATTAAGAGGAGTGGTTAAAATCAACCCTGAGACCATGCCATTGGATGCATACAGAGCTACTGTCTGAAGCTCTGTTTTCAGTATGACCTAGTGACTGTTGCAAGAATGGACTGAATTGAGAATTTGTCTCGACCCAATTGCTAAACTAATTTCCAAGGGTCATATAGACTGTTAACTGCTACTTATATCCAATCTTCTTATGTATAAGTGACACGGGTGGAAGAAACCTCTACTGTTTCCATAGTGACTTAGGAGCATTGGGGAGGAATGAAGGATGTAGGCACCAAGGTGTTATTTTCATGTTGTCTAGAAATACAGTATGGCAGTACTATAGTCAGATAGACTTATCACTTATTAGTTGTATGACCTTGGTTTTCTGATTGTAAAATGGGCTACTGTCTACATTGTGAAGTAGTTATGAATAATGAGATAGTATGGTAAATAGGATGATTTATCAGGGTCTCTGATATGTATCAGATACACCACAGAGATGCCATAGATCTTGGTTCCTTTCCATGTTTTTTACCTGGAGGTCAAGATTTTGGAAAATAAAAGGAGTTGGGATGAAGACAGCAGGCTATGTTGATGGTGAGTGGAAGGACTTGGGTTTGATCTTAGCTAAGATGTGCTTTTGCAAGGGAGCATTTCTCTGTCTCTCTGTCTCTGTCATTCTTGTGTGTGCATGCACACACACTTGTTTTTAACAAAGTACTTTATTATGTGCTTTACTTGTATTATCTAATTTCCTCATCCCTGCAACTCTGAAAGGGACATAATCTGACTATTCCTTATATGCAAAGGAAGAAAGTGAGACTCAGAGAGATGAATCATTTGCCCCCCCCATCTTACAATGAGTAAATGATAAAGTCTTGCAAATGCAGAACCCTCACTCCTTGTATCTCAATATAAACCAAACACACACACACACACACACACACACACACGCCCTAGAAAAGAGAAACAATGACTGTTATTTTCTTTAAACGAGTTGCTCGTTTTTCATTTTTTCCACTCCCTGGTATCTTCTAAGCTCTTGGTATTTGAGTATTTGCTTGCATTTATTAATGGCACATGTTCACCCTGCTTGTATTTGGGGCCTGGACCAAATGACATTTCAAAATGGAAGCTCTGACATTTAAGCCAAGTGCTGGCTTGCTCCTCACTTCTATTAAGTAATTCTATTTTGTTGTTTTTGTTTTTTTGCAGGCCTTATTTCCCCCAGCTGAACCATCACCAAGGACTCCACCACTCAAAATCCTTTTGGAAAAATGCCACTCTCTGCCCATCTCACAGAGTATCCCTGTGGAGCTGGACCAAGTGGGCTGGAGGAGACCCATGATGCTTTGCACTGGTATGTCTTTTATGCCCTCTCATTAGCATCTGAAGTTCATAATTTAGCCATGCCTTGTTATAGAATTAGCCTTTAAAAAAAAATCTGTCTAGTTATACATGCACATAATATCTTTATTTTATTTATTTATTTTTATGTGGTGCTGAGGATTGAACCCAGGGCCTCACATGTGCAAGGCAAGCACTCTGCCACTGAGCCACAACCCAGCATAGAGTTAGCTCTTTCATGCTCTTCTTTTAAAATGCAAATATCCCCATTTGGGTGGCGCTTTAGCTCAAAGCCCTTGGGAATCACATTCAGAACTACAAAGGTCCTAAGAGTTTGAGTGGTCCTTTTGCTTTACAGATGGAGAAACAGTCTCAAAAGGTAAAGGGATCTGCCTAAGGTCACAGAGTCAGTTATGACTGAGGGCTTTGGTATCCTAAATTTCCAGCATGAACAAATGATATTTTTCTCCAGTTTTGGTGTGGAGTCTTAAATACTTGGCAAGGCCCAGTGGTGCATACCTGTAATCCCAGTGACTTGGGAGGCGAAGGCAGGAGGATTGCAAGTTCCAGACCAGCCTCAGCAACTTAATGAAGCCCCAAGCAACAAGAGACTGTGTCTCAAAATAAATTTTTTAAAAAATATTTTTATTTGTTGATGGAATTTATTTATTTATTTATTTGTATATGGTGCTGAGAATCGAACCCAGTGCCCCATGCATGCTAGGCATGCATGCCACCACTTAGCCACAACCCCAGCCCTCAAAATAAAAAAATTTAAAAAGGGCTTTGGGGAGCTGGGGCTGGGGCTCAGCGGTAGTGCACTTGCCTGGCATGTGTGAGGCACTGGGTTTGATTCTCAGCACCACGTATAAATAAATAAAAAATAAAGGTCTATCAACAACAAAAAAATATTTGTAAAAAATGGGCTGGGGATGTGCGGGGGATACCTGGATTCAATCCCTGTATCCCCCTCAAAAAGATATATATATGTATACACACATGTGTGGATATATATGCATATATATACACACATATATACATATATGTATGTGTATATATACACATATACATGCATATATTTATGTATGTGTATATATGTATGTGTGTGTGTGTGTGTGTGAGTGAGATATGGGATGTCAAGGCTCTGGTTCCACCCAAACTCACCTGCAGTGTAGTTACTACCCCTTTCCGCTCCTGTGAAGAAACGGCAGGTGGTGGATATAAAATAAGCCATTAAGTCAGCAGCAGATGTCTGCCATATTTTCTAAGTCTCCTACCTAGGAGTCTCCTATAATCCCCTAGGAAGTCAGGTCAGGGGGCCTATGGCAGAGGAACTGGTCACAATTGTTTCTCCCCTCTCTCCTTTTCTCTTAGGAAGCAGACCCACCCCCTGGCAATTTAGAGGCTTTTGAGCAGCTGCTAACTCCCCGCCCCCACTGCCAAGTGCATCAGATAGACTCCCACACAAGCCTCCTAATTGTTAGAAAGAAATAACAGCCCCTTAGGGTGAGGGCTCATCAGGGTTAATAGTCCTTACCATAGTGACTGCTCTGGGCTTATTTATAGGCCAAGGGTGGGAAAATGTATCCCCAACTTTGGTTTATGTTTTGGCATCACCTCAGCAGCCACTCTCACCTTTGGGATATAAATGGCTCCCACATTACAGTTCTGCTTCTCAAGGTCCCCACTAGACACTTGAGTCTAAAAATATCCCTGGGAAACAGGGTGACATCAGGACCCCATTTAGGAAGCTGGTTGTCATCCAGTTCCTCTTCTGTCTCTGATTCTACTAGTGATAGGATCCGAGGACCACATTCAGATCGTGATTAGTATTTGATTTACTTCTATCTTGCTCAGGACCTGAAGAACTTCATTTCATTTTTTACTGCTGGATTTCTGCACTTCCATCTGCCTTCACATACACTCTTACCAACACTTCCCTCTAAGATTCTAACCTGGAGGTTGCCAGAGCAGACCATTATAATAGAAAGAGGATCAACTTTGGATTTGGATAGATCCAGTGTCAAATTTTTGCTCTGCCACCTTAGTAAACGTGCATAAGATCTCTAGTCCTCAGTTTCCCCATCTGGGGAGTGGGATACTGAATAACATCTGTCTCACAGGAGTGTTGTGAGCACTGAATGAAATAGAATTTATGAATGTGTGAATGCTGCAGCACAGTTCCTAGCATGCAAAAGTGCTCAGTGATGGCAGGTTGCTTCTTTTCTCCACTGTCCATCATGTGCCTAATTTTTTTTTCCATATACATACATACACCACTATGGAGCTCAACCTGGATTTTACTACATGAGCTTCTCCCTCTCATTCATTATTTTACTCACTCTTTTGCACATTCAACAGACATTTATTGATCAAGATTGGAAAGTCAGTGGATTTTGTTTCCTGACAACTTAGAGTGATGGAAAGAGCAACAGTTTGGAAATGAGATATACTTAGATTTGAATTTTGCTTCTGCTACTTAATACCTGTGTTACCTGGAATAAGTCATTATACTTCTTTGAGCATCAGTATTCTTTTTTAAAATATAAGCCTAATTTTATTTTGAGGGGAAAAATAAAATGTATTTACATATATAGAAAAAGGCCTGGAAAACTTTCACCAAAAGAACATCAGTATTCTTTTTTTATCCTTTTTAAAAATTTATTTTTATTTAATATATGACAGCAGAATGCATTACAATTCTTATACAGAGCACAATTTTTCATATCTCTGGTTGTATACACAGTATATTCACACAAATTTGTATCTTCATATCTGTACTTTGGATAATAATGGTTATCACATTCCACCATGATTAATAATCCCATGCCCCCTCCCATCCTCTCCAACCCCTCTGCCCTATCTAGAGTTCGTCTATTCCTCCCATTCCGCTCTCTATCCCACTACAAATCAGCCTCCTTATATCAAAGAAAACATTTGGTATTTGTTTTTTGGGGGATTGGCATTACCTTCTCTAATTCCTTCACTTAGCATTACCTTCTCTAATTCCATCCATTTACCTGCAAATGCCATGATTTTATTCTCTTTTATTGCTGAGTAATATTCCATTGTGTATATATGAATGTCAGTATTCTTATATGCAACTTGGGATAATCATTTGGATCTTACAAGCAAAGCTGTGAGGATTAAAAGGGCTAACAAACATGAAAGGCCTTATGAGGTGAGGTGCTATACAACTAGCCTGAAATTATAATTTTGGCAATACAATAAAACAATTAGAGGTAGGGATATGTCTTTTATCTATCCAGGTACTCTGCATTGTCTTTAAATACCTATAGATGCCACTATTAGGAATCAAGATTTGTTTTCCTCATTAAATGAGGGGTTCTTGTATTTGGAAAAAAAACCCAGAATATCAGAAACAGTCCTACTGTAAGCATACCCACACACATCACCCCACATATTGGCGGAGCTCTGCTCAAACCACTTGAGGCTGGGCTGACTCAGAATCCTGTTTTGGAAGTAACATTCAAATCATTTCTCCCTGAGACCCTGCCCTTCTCAGTAGGGTTGGCTCTGGGTTGGTATTGATCTAGAGAGTTGTAGGGTACAACTGGAAGAACCTAACACCATTTGAATGAATAACCCTGGAACAATTAGAAGAATTTTTAAGCAAAACACTGGTTTCTGAGCAGGTAAGAAGAAACTTATGTTTGTTTACTTATTTGAATATTTCTATGATAGTAGTACCAATTTAATCATGTTTGATAACTGAACCAGGTGTCAGGAGACTTGAGGTCTATTATTGGGTTTCTGTAGATACTTCTATGTAGTGAATTATAACAAACCCCTTTTTGAGAACCTCAGTATCCTCATACTGGAAATGGAAGCAGTGCTGTTTGGCTGCTCTGAGAACACAGATTTCACTTACTAATTGCATCTGATTAGATATATGCTTGGTTTATCCTCCTACTCCCTGGTTTTTGGACACATCCACTGCTCACATTTCCTCTTAAGGGGTGGGCTACAGAAACGGATGAAAATTTGAAACTATTTATGTTGTTCTGGGGAAGTGTTGGGAGAGGCAAGAAATTTGAGCTATTGTGTACTTTAATTAACCAGGCTATACATGTAACCTAAGACTTCAAGGTTACATGAAAATTGTCCAGAACTGGAATTCTTTCTTTATAATTCCAAAGAGCTTGAGGTTTTTCTTTTCCCAAGAGCAATTTAAGTAGGTCTAGGGTACTTCAGATACTGGTTTTCAATTGAGAACTTTCAGCTAACTTTCTATCACTAAATTTACATGAGCATACCCTTACCTTCCTTCCCCCTTAAGCCCTAATGCTGGTGGGTCTGAAAGATGGGCAAAAGTGACCAACAGTCAGGGCTCCCCAAAAGGAGCTGGGGTCTCGACTCAGTCTAAAGAGCACTCTCTTACCACAGGTAACTTGGACCAGGGCTCCAAGACTCTAGAAATCTGCAAGAAAATTGGTGGATACTGGAAGCTGCAGAGACCAGGAAACAAGCCAATAAATGAAGTAAGACCCCTTTCTTAGTACCTTAGTTCCTCTAAGCTTCCTTTTCTCTGCACATATTACATGTATTGGTGCTTCTAGCATGTGTAATGGAAGAAATTTATAAATGGGGTTTGGAGATATTTTATGGCTATATAAAAGATGGAAACATTGAACTTTTTCCCCTGGGATTAATTTTTGCATGATAATAATCAAGGACTTTTTTGTGGTTTCCATGCAGCTTGCTGCTTCTGTTGTCTTTGGCTGCCTTTGCTGTAGCAGATGGGGGAACTGTTACATTTTAAACCCTGGGTACTTTGGTTTGCTTTTATTATATCCTTTAGGTTCATGATCATCTTCAGCGCTAACTGGTGACATATCCATAGGTATTCCTTGTCATAAATACAGACATAAAAAACTGGCACTTAGGATTTCAGTGTTAGCAGGATTCTTTATACCTGTGCCTGTTGGGCACTATATGGACATTTGTAGCTTTCTTGCTATAACTGTGAATATATCTGTCTGTCCACATATGCCTCTCTGTGTGTCTTTGTACATTTCATGCCTGTTAAATGCTTCTTTGGTGCATGTGTGGGTGTCTTTCAGTATGACTACAATGTGTTCTTTCTTAACTTTACCCTCTGCTGCTTCTATCTATCGATGTATCTTTATGTCTATATATGTATATGTATATGTATATACATACATACATAAACACACACACTCCTTTTTGTCAGATTTTATCTTTGGGTGTTTTGACATGTGCTGCCTTTTTGTAAGTGTTTGATTCTGTAGACCTTTTCACTTGCATGTTTTTCCTTGAAGATGTCTATGAATGCCTGTTTTCCTATGAGTCTTTATTTTTGCATAGTCAGTATATCTGGGAGCATGTGTTTGGGCACATAGGTTATATTTCTATGGCTAAGTCCTGGTGAGCAATAATACCGGTGAATGCAGCTTTCAGAGGTGTCTGGCCTGGTGGCTTAACTTTCACTACCACTGCCCTCCAATTTGAATATGCCCTCTCAGAAATAGATTCACAGCAGTTTAGGCCTGTTTCATGACAGCACACATTTAGATATCTTGGCCAGGGATATGTGTCATGAAATTGAAGTTTGTTGGTTTTTCTGTTGTAGTTTAAGAGTTGCAAAGTGAGGCCCACAGGAAATCTTTCATGGTTTTGGATTCTTTCTCTCATTATCTTCCCTCTGCTGAGTTTCCCTTTTCCTAGCCTTCCCACTTAATTCACTTGGTCCAGAGTTAGGCTGGTCCACTCCTCTCATGACAAAGGACACCAACAGACTCTTCTGTACACCTGTTTACATTTTAGCCATGTCTTTATTTTAGGCTTTTTTTGTACTGGGGATTGAACCCAGGGGAGCTTTACCACTGAGCTACATCCTGCTGGGCTTTTTTTTTCAGTCAGAGAACAAATGATCGGCTTCCTCTTAATTAGAAATTTCTGTATGTTCAAAGATGGCAATTAGGCATTTGTGATAATATTCTTTCCCAAGGTAAGCCAACCTTTGTAAGACCCCTAGAGGTAAAATCCAAGGAAGTGTTTCCAGTAAGATAAAATATCCAGTGGTTTAGGGGGCTACCAAAAAGACTATAACTGTTAAGAAACAGTTTTGTAGCCCTTATCAGCCCTATAGTAATATTGTTATTACTAATATAATAAAAGTATATGTGTCATATGTAATTATGTGTAATATAATATTACTATAATTCTATAAAAAGTAAAAATAATACTAGTAATAATAATAGTTCATATCTCTGTGGCATTTGAAAAATTATTTCAAATTCAATGTTTCATTTGACCTCATGGCAGTGCTGTCAATTAATCTCACCCCTATTTTGTAGATGAAAATTCTGAGGCTCAAAGAGGGGCATCTTACTAGTAAGTAGTATAGCCAGGAACCGAACTCACTGTATAATCCTAAATCAAAAGGCAAGGCTTTTATCTGTGCTGTCTTTCATGATCCCCAAAAATTCAGAATTGTAAGCAAAACAGTTTTTCAAGGGATTGAGCCAAGGTAATTGTAAAAAATAAAATCTAGTTATGTGATATTCAAGACTTTTTATAAGGTGGAATTTGAGCTGGGTTCTGAAAGATGGGAAGGTTGAAATAGAGCAAAAGGAGATGGCCTTTTCAGACAGCAGGAGCTATATAATATATCCCTATCCCCTGGGAAGAGTCATTTCAAGCTGATCTCTTATAAACAGTTCTAGGAATGAAAGGGAGCCACTCTTTTCATGTCTGTATACTTTACAGTTAAGAGAGTACTTTTGCACATATAATGTCTTTTAATTATCACAGCCATCATGGAAATACTATGTTACTTCCATTTTCCATGTAATGAAGTGAGGCTGGAAGGAAATAAATTTATATCAGAGGCAGTTTATAATTTCTTGTGGCCCCAAGCCAGTGGCTTGATGCCCATTCCATGGCACAATTAGGGAAAATGGCAGGGTATCTACAGTAGGTTTAAAAGCGTATGGATCTATCCATATTCTACCCCTACCACTCCTAATATTTGCCAACTTTTTAGGGACACATATTTATTGGCTTTGGCCTTGACAGGTAGGCATCAGTTGATGATCTTATCAGGAAAACCTGCTGTGGCAGTCCCCCACCTTACCAAATCAGGGAGCTTTGATGGGAACACTCTGGAGGTGAGATCAGCACTCAGATCTCCAGCAGTCTGAAAGAAGAAAGCTGCTGTTTTGGGCTTCCCCTCAGTTCTTTTCCCTTGTGCAGTCCTTACGTGTCACCTGTCAAAAAGCCAGCCACACTTTCTCCCAGTAGTTAAAATTAGCCAGCCTCCTCTTTTCCCCAAGGCCATTCTAAGAAAACATTTTCAAAAGGAAGTTTATTAATCAGATGATGAGGAGAAATTGGTTTATAGGAGTTGGCAAGTGTGAGCCTTGAGATTCAGGATCTAGTTATTTTTCCTTGTTCCTAAGTTTTAGGCAATAAAGTCTCTGGATCTCATTGAAATTTGACTGTTCATGGTAGATATTCTGATCATAATAAGTGATGAACTTTTCAAAGTGCATCCACACCTACTATCTCAGTGAGGCAGAAGAGATGTCTCAGAAAAACTAAAAGATCTTATTTAAGATCACCTAGATAACTGTTGGTAGAACCAGAATTGGAACATTGTGTCTGAACTCTCAGGTCCATGTTCTTTTTATAACAGCCACCTGGATTACATTGATAGATTTAGATTTCAAAGCTCTTTTTGTCTTGGAAATTCAGACCATTTTGAGACAGCTTTATTACCATGTAATTTACATATACTAAACTCACCAAGTTTAAGTATACTATTTGATACATTTTTTAGAAATGTGTATAGTTATGCAATCACCAACACAGTTGTGATATGGAACATTTTCATCACCTCCACAAATTCCCTCATGTCACTTTGTAGCCTGTTCATTCCCCTCTACTCCCTGGCAATCACAGATCGTCTCTTTATCTTTATAATTACGCCCATAATTAGTTTGTCTTCAAAACCTGTGTAGGCAAAATGATCCCTGTTTTGAATCTTGCAACCTATGGGAAGTGAAATAATTTTCTATAAGTCAGACAAAATATTTGTTTGTTCATTCACTTATCCATTCATTCATTCAGAAAACAGTGATTCCATTTCAGAATCTATGCTGCATGCAAAATTTTAAAAGTCTATGCTCTCAAAGTTTTCACAGTCTAATCAGAGGAGACCCATAAACCAATGAAGAATTAGAGCAATGAGATACATTTGAAGAAAAATGCTTCAATCCAGGACTAAGAAGTGCTTAGTTCTGTTTGGAGAAGTCAAAGAAAGAGACCAGATACTGAATTCCAGAGTAGGTGTTTTTAGAACAATGATCAGGTGTTCTGAAATAGGTGGTAGAAGTTAAAGGGACAGCACTGGATGTCTTTTTCCAGGCCAAGAGAAGGAAAATATGTGAAGAAGTAGCACACTGGGCTTGGAGAATGGAAAGATGGAAGCATGAGTTGGTAGATATCTGTTAAAATCTCAAAGGATCCTCAAAGGTCAGGAGTCCTCTTGGACTTGATATCCTTGATCTTAACTTAGTTGGAAAGTTTAAGTGAGTGCCAGTGTGGTAATTATCTTGTTAAGCCCTGAGGTTTTGGGAATTTCAAGAATGTTTGGGTTGAAAAATGTTCATTTTGAGGATTGCTTTTATTTCCTTGTTTAGATAGCAAAGAGATGTTATCCCAGGGACCTGAAAGACAATGCATGACTTTTTTTTTCCTAAGAGGAAAGAAGCAGTAGAGGCTCAGTCCCATCCTTGGCTACATATTATGGAGACCTTAGATGGTGGGGATCTCAAGGCTATGAGTATATTTGTCATAAAACTGTTAAACTGCCAGCATTTCTGCATCTCACTATGTCTTTAGAACTAGATAAATCTCTCCCACAGGCCTGAGCCTTCCCTGAAGGAGATATTTTTCTTTTTCAACCACTTAGCATAGAGCTCAGAAATTAGGTTCTGGAATCAGAAATATAGGGGTTTTCATCTTCAACTTGGCTGGAACAGGGAACCAAAGTCCCCTTCTGCCAGAAAGTCTAGAAAGATTTCTGAATGGAGAGTCAGGAGTCCTGGAATATAGTCTTGGTCCAGGGTAATTTGGGTACTATTTTCTTCCCTACCTTGCTTGAGTCTTAGAGGGACTAAGGACTTTAATCTGCTTAGTTTTGTGTGAAGAAATCAAGTTTACTAATCTGATTATAAGAAAGTTTAACTGGATACCCTTACAGGTTCTTTCTGTCCTTTCAAAAGGTGTATTCTGGTGGCTAAATAAGAAGTCCCTGTAGTTGTTCTTATAGAACCAGGCCTCAACATTGTCTAGGTTGCTCAGCAAGCAAGTGCTACAGTTTCATAACAAGAACAATATGGGGACTGGGGCTGTAGCTCAGTGGTAAAGTACTTGCGTCACATATGTGAGGCACTGGGTTCGATCCTCAGCACCACATAAGAACAAATAAAGATACTGTGTGTTTACCTACAAA